CTAATATCTTCTTGTGTTATGTTTTCTGTTTATATATTTTAAGTTATAAAGTACCCATCTATTTTGCTAGCTGTTTTAGTTTTAATCTTAAATAGGTATGTTTTATCAGGACAGCGCCTGTAGCTCAGTGGGCAGGGTGCTGGCCACATATACCCAGGCTGGCAGGTTCAAACCCGGCCCAGGCCAGCTAAACAACAATGACAACTGCAACAAAAACAAAAAAGAATAGCCAGGCATTGTGGCAGGTGCCAGTAGTCGCAGCTACTTGGGAGGCTGAGGCAAGAGAATTGCTTAAGGCCACAAGTTTGAGGTTGCTGTGAGCTGTGATGCCACGGCACTCTACCGAGGGTGACATAATGAAATTCTGTCTGGAAAAAAGAAAAAAAAAATAGAGTGGCGCCTGTGGCTCAAGGAGTAGGACGCCGGCCCCATATACTAAGAGTGGTAGGTTCAAACCCGTCCTGGCTAAAAACTGCAAAAAAAGCAAAATATGCTTTTCTCTACTATTAACATAATTTTTCAGCTTTCTCCTTTAGTTTATTAATGTGGTAATTTTCTTTGTAAATTTTTCTGATGTTTAAGTATCCTTGCATTCCTGAGATACACCCTTATTTGTATAATATTCTTAGTTTCAATCATATGAAACTCTTATCTTTTTTAGGTCACAAATGGCCGAATATTAGCTCTGTTATAGAGGTCAAACTTAATATTTTTGATATACTCTTGAATTAAATTAGCCTTTTAAATTTTTGTCCAAAGAGCTTTCTATTATGCAACATTAAGCAAAATTATTTAAAAGTCAGTAAATTTTTATTCAGGGAACTGGACATTATGATTCCTTCCACTGACCATCAGGGTCATCTTGGTTCTTCTAAAGCTAGAGTCAAGATTCATTTTCAAACAAGCCCTTTTAAAAAGAACTTATGCTTAATCTACACTTGTCCTGTCAGCCCACAATCCTTTTATTTTGGCTTCTGTCTCTGGTTGAATATGGATGAAAACTTGAAAAATTCCCCACCAAGAATCTTCAGGATCTAATTACTTCAAGCAGTTCACTTTAGCATCATTTTTAGAGTAGAGGGATCAGCCTGGTTCTTGGTCTGACCCCTCTCTAAACACAGATGTGTTCAGATCGTATCCATTCTTCAGCTGTCACACTCAGGAACAGTACGGAGCTGTGGGACACGCAGATAGGCAAGGAAGAAGGGAAAACTATTACTTGGCCTTTTGTATAGTTCCTTCCGCAGATCTCCCCGTCTCATGAGGAGGGCAGAAACCACAGAGTTTACCCCAGGAGAAGGGCGGCAGCCGTAGTAACTCCGCTGGGATAGACTTCAACAAATTAGCTTTTAATGAAAAAGGTTTTTACATCTCTGATCTTACGTTAAATAAGACTTTAATCTTTTGTGGATTTGTCTTTGTTTGATTTGGGGATCAGAGTCAGGATTTTACCAGCCTCAAAACACGAGGTGAATAGTTTTTCTTAAATGTTTTTCCGTCACAAGAATGAAAAAGTATTTATATACTCAATACTAATATTAGACCAGTAGACAAACAACTACACTCTCACACCGGAGAAAAACAATTACATTTGTCCAGGCTGGTCGTGAACTCCTGCCTCAAGCAATCTTCCTGCCTCAGCTCCCAAAGGGGGGATCCTGGGAGCGAGGGGAGGACAGGGAGGGTTTGATGTGCTACCATCCAGCCGGCACAATGTAGGGGTACGTGGCACCACTCCTGGTCGAAGGGCTCAGCCACCACTTGGACTTTACCTAACAAATGCAAACAATTTAAACTAATTGTATTCTTACATCAACCTGAAATGAAAAATATATATTTAATAATAAAAAATAAATGTTTTTTCATGTTCAAGAATAACTTACTTGAAATATTATAGAATTAAAATGTAAAACTATCAAGCACTGAGTTTGTTATCAAAAAGAACATTTTTTTACCATCAGTTCAATGTATTGAATATTTACTAATCCAGTGCAGATTTACATTTATTCTTGAACTAAATATGATGGTTTTTGTTTTGTTTATTTTAGGGTTTTTTGAGGGGGGGCGGGCAAGGCATTGCCTTTTGAGATGGGGTCTCATTCTGTGGCCCAGGCTGGAGTATAGTGGTGTGACCATAGCTCACTGTATACTCAAGCTTTGGGGCCCAAACAGTTCTCTTGCCTCAGTCCCCCGAGTAGGTGAAACACACTACAGGTGCATTCCACTGCCTCTGGCTAAATCTTTTTAATTTATAATAGTGACAGAATCTCACTATGTTGTCCAGGCTGGCCTTGAACTCCTAGCCTCAAGCAAACTTCCTGCCTCAGCCTCCCCAAATGCTGGGATTACAGGCACGAAGCAACTTGCCCAGACAAATATGTACTTTTTAAATTTTTTTGAGAAATGAATCTACATCATATAGTTTTTATAATGTGCCAACATATAGTTCATATTGATAAACCATCTATAATAATTTTCATTAAAAAAAAATCTATTTGGGGCTCAGCGCCTGTAGCTCAGTGAGTAGGGCGCCAACCAAATATACCGAGGCTGGCAGGTTTGAATCCAGCCCAGGCCTGTCAAACAACAATGACAACTACAACCAAAAAGTAGCTGGGTGTTATGGCAGGTGCCTGTAGTCCCAGCTACTTGGGAGGCTGAGGCAAGAGAATCACTTAAGCCCAAGAGTTTGAGGTTGCTGTGAGCTGTGATGCCACGGCACTTTACCCAGGACGGCATATTAAGACTCTGTCTCAAAAAAAAAAAAAAAATCTATTTGCAGTTATTCCCCTTTTTCAGTTCTGTAATTTATTTGCATCATCTATTTTTTTCTTGTTCACTTTTTGCAGCGTCTATCTCATCAATGTTTTCTAAGAACTAGGTTTTAATTTCATTGACCCTCACATGGCGTTTTTCTTTGGTGTATATTGATCGCTGTATTTGTCTGTGGTGAGAGTTCCGTCATCACTAGGAGATACCTTTAGTTTTGATATTTTCTCTGTTCTTGTCTCTTTGCTGTATAGTTACTTTTCCAATTCTGGAGTATAACACTAAACTTACTATTTTTAAACTTATTTTCTGGTGAATTGCTCAAAATTATAAATATACTTCTAAGTTCTGTTTTAACTGCATCTCTCGAGTTTGATATTTAAAATTATAATTTTTATTCAGTTATAAATGCTATGTTTCTTAAGTTCCTTTGTCAATCTTAAAGTTTTTACTCATATTTTTATTTCTAAATACATGGAGTTTTCAGAGTTATCTTTTTACTAAATTATGGTTTTGGTTTTATTGCACTGTGTTCTGATAACACAGCTTGTGTGATGATGATTCTTTGAAAATCATTCAGGTTTCTTTTATGGCCTGATACAGTCTGTGTCTGTACTTGTTTTGTGTTTTCTCAAAAATGTGTATTTTTGGTCCGTTGTAGACATCTCTTATACCTCCTGTGCTAGGCTGGTTGTCTGGTCAGAGTCCTGGATGTCTTTTTTTCCTTAATTTCACCCGCGGCTTCAGTTGACTACCTAGAAAATGTTGTTCGTTATGTTACAAGTTCTTCATTTTATTGTATTTTGCTATATATGGTCTTTATTATTACTAATAATAAGGTGGTAGGTGAAAGTTCTTTAAGATTCTCGTCAAGATCTCTACAAAGCAGACAGATTTACTCCTTTCTAAAATAAGTCTCCACCTGTGCTCCATTCTTTTAATGTAAATTTATGCCTAAAGTCATTTTTACAAGTTTAAATTTACTCACTTAAAGCAGTGTTTGCTAAGTCTCAGTGGTCTAGACTGTCTTCCTCCCTCCTGACCTTAAGACTTAAAACTTTCTTTCTTTCTTTCTTTTTTTTTTTTTTTTGGAGACAGCCTCAAACTGTCGCCCAGGGTAGAGTGCTGCAGCGTCACAACTCACAGCAAACTCCAACTCCTGGGCTCAAGCGATTCTCCCGCCTCCACCTCCCAAGTAGCTGGGACTACAGGCGCCCACCACAACGCCTGGCTATTTTTTGGTTGCAGCCATCATTGTTATTTAGTGGGCCCAGGCTGGATTCGAACCCACCAGCTCAGGTGTATGTGGCTGGTGATTTAGCCGTTTGAGCCACAGGCGCTGAGCTGAGACTTAAACTTTCAATGTGTAAGATACCCTACTACGGGCAGCAAACATAATATAAGCCAAGCGTAGGCTGAGCATCAAGAGTTCCAAGATGGTCACAGTCTATTAATTCATTCTTCAGTGCTTCAGCCATGGCCCTGGGCGTGAAGCCCTTGAGTTCTGGCAGTGCCCCTGGCCTGACCTGGTGCTGTGTGGGTCACAGGACGTGCATACAGCCGTGTGGTCGGCCGTGTGATCCTCACACTGATTTCCTCATGTGCTTCACTGCACAGAATCAATAACAGTGAAACTTAGCCAACCATACCCTAAGACAGGTAGCAAGGTGAGACAGAAGGTGCGGTAAAAGTCCTTTAAGTCCTTAACCTAGGCTGGGCACAATAGCTCACACCTGTAATCCTAACACTCTGGAAGGCTAAGGTGGGTGGATAGCTTGAGCTCAGGAGTTTGAGGTCAGCCTGAGCAAGAGTGAGACCTTGTCCCTACTAAAAGTAGAAAAACTAGCTGGATGCCATTGTGGCAGGTGCCTGTAGTCCCAGCTACTTGGGAACCTGGGGCAAGAGGATTGGCTTGAGCCCAAGAGTTTGAGGTTATTGTGAACTATGATGCCATGGCACTCTATCCAGGGGGACAGAGTCAGACTCTGTCTCAAAAAATAGTAATTCCCTTAACCTGTATTTTATTTAATTGTCCCAACATCCCTGAAATGTGACTAGGTACTCGTTCCAGCCTGGATAACATAGTGAGACCCCATCTCTTAAAAAAGATAGTAGGATTAAAAATAAAAGGAACCATTGTAGAAGAATCACATTAAAGATGGGGAAATCCTGACATCTTTGTTAATAAAGATGCAACAACTCCGTTTAATATTTTTAAATTTTTTTAATAGAAAAAATCAGGCAAAGATATGCGGATCTGCCTGGAGAACTGCACATTATTGAACTTGAAAAGGATAAGAATGGCCTTGGACTCAGCCTTGCTGGCAACAAAGACAGATCTCGAATGAGCATATTTGTGGTGGGAATCAACCC